GAGCTCTTTGGCTCTTATAACTCCTACTCTTTGGGGTAATATATAGGGATTATCTAGGGATTAAATAGGGATGATGTAGGGATTATATATGATCCTTTGAAGTGTTTAGTTTAGGGTATAGGGCATAGGGAGGTTTAGGGCTGAGGGGTTTAGGGGTTTAGGGGTTTAGCGGTTTAGGGTTTAGGGTCTAGGGTTACGTACAGGGATTTATACAGATTTTACGCGGTCCGGACATTAGGGGTCCCTTTTTTGGGGGGTTTCCGGACATCGCGGGTCCAAAATGGACCCCGTATATTTACGAAAACCACTTTTTTTGCTTAAGGCCCAGGGTGACCAATATATACCCTGTCATGACATAGTAGTCTGCATTTCTTTTCCACATTCCCCATATTATATAACCCTTACATAAGCCCCTATGTAGTGTGGCCCGTAGGACCAAACCCAGCGATTACATGCAGAAATTCTGGCACTTCGACAGCAGAGCTCCTTGGCAACAGCCGTCTCCACACATGGAGCTTAGGTTTTAGGTTTTAGGGTTTAGGGTTTTAGGGTTTATAGATTAGGATCAGAGCAACAGCCTCCAGAAGTGTTCCGCTAAGGCTGTAGTAGTTTCTTTAATAGAGGGACCCTAATGTAGACCACGAAATGTTATAATCCGTATTATAAGGACCCCAAGAAGGTACCCCTATTTCTATTCAGGGCCGTTTCAGGCGAAGTCTTGGAAGGCTTGGAGGCGGAGCTGCGAGAGAAGAGGAAGCAAGAAGTGGATCTCAAACACGGTGCTGCGGTAGCGGAAGCAGAGATCGCTGGAGCTCGCAATAGTGCAAAGGCGTGTTGTCATGTCATGGGATGCGTTCACTGGTGCTTTGCATGGCTTAGTAGCTTGGCAGGCACAGCAGAAGCTGGTAGCTGAGCTCAGAAACTGCCTGCATGAGACTGAAGCCGAATCGGCAAGGGCTGTGACGAAGCTTAAGGAGCTGCGAGCAGGGCCGGGAGAGCCATGGCCTTTTTTTTGGGGGGACTTGATGCACTTGCCAGGATCAACAGGATCTCCTTGAGCTTCGCCAGCGAGAAGCGGAGCGCCGACTTGCTGCTGCTGAGGAGATGGCAAGCCAACGTGCTGAAGAACTCCAGGAACTGGCAAGCGAGCACAAAACACGTTCCTTGCCTGCAAGCCTGTCACGCCTAGCTCACTGCACTGCGGTGACGCATATGCCGTACGGGCAGAAGGACCTAAAGCGGAGGGTTTTGAACGGGTGTGAAGAGACAACTCCTAAGCCCTAAATAGTAGTTTCCATTCTATTTTCCATTATCCCAATATAACCCCTATATAACCCCAATATACTGCCGCAGATCCCACAAAGTTGAGGCGTGTCCAGCTTGGAAAGTGAGCTGGTCAGGGCTTGCAAGGAGGAGAAGTCACAGGAAGAGGCAGCTCAAGACCTCAAATCCGACATCTCGAAACGAGAGGCAGAGTTGCTGGGATACTGTTGAGAAACTTATTGCAAGGTACCATAATGGGTATATATAGTAATCAACAGTATAATGGAGAATCAAATGGAAAAGAACATGGAAAATGACATGGGGAATCTATGTAGGGATTTAGGGCACTTAATTTAAGTTGCTATATTGGGGAAACCCCCTTTTTTTTAACTTTCTATACCCATTACGGTGACATAATTCAAGTTCCTAAACCCTTAAACCTATATGCCCTATCCACCTTGTATGCCCCTTATGGTAACTTAAATTTATAGTCCCCTTGAGTAGATAGAATATGGCTTTGGGCAAGCCATACTAAGATCCCCATATACCTCATATTCTATGTACTTAAGGGGGACTATAAGTTCCTTTAACAGCAACCCTAAACCTAAACCCTAAACCCTAGACCCTAAACCCTAAACCCTAAACCCAGGTTGCTGGAGTCTTTGGCCAACTCGGAGGCAAATCCGCTTTAGGGAGAGTGGGGGGGAGTGGATCCTTTTACACAGAATCCCCTACATGGGGCTAAGGGTTTGAGGGTTTAGGGTGTAGGATTTAGGGTTTAGGGTTTAAGGGTTTAGGGTTTAGGATTTGGGGTTTAGGATTTGAGGTTTAGGGTGTAGGATTCAGAGTTTAGGGTATATGAGCTATAGTTGAAGTTCCTTAAAGGGAGGTTACATAGGGGATCATATAGGAGGGTATGAAAGGGGTTATTAAGGGGATACTAGGAGTTTAGATTATGGCTCATATGGGGGTTGCCCAAAAATTGGTGGTCCAATTTTGTGCTCCCAAATATTAGGTGCCGTATTTATAATCTACAGCCATCATGGGTGCATAATTTTGAAAATAATCCTCATATATACCCTTATAACAGTCTCTAGATTCACTCCCCCTTTTGTTCCCCATCAACCACCAGTAAGTCTGAGGCACATCAAGCCAGTGAAGCGGCCCTTCGGAAAGCTCTGCACATGCAAGAAACTGGGTTAAGTGGGTTTAGGTTTTAGTATAGGGTTTAGGGTTTAGGAAGCGAGAGAGGGACACTAGGGTTTGGGGCGCTAATTTGAAGTCACCATACTGGATCCCTTGGTTTGGCGACTTAACTTAAGTTCCGTAACAGCAGGCAGCAGGCATACACCCCCAAACCCAAAATATTCCCTAGACCTTAAGCCCTAGAACCTTAAAAAAACAACCCTAAAACCCTAAATCCTAAGCCACTAAACCCCTAAAACCCTAAACTCTTAAACCCCATATAACCCCTATAAACCCCATCTAACCCCTAGAAACCTTATAAACACCTAAACCCCTAACCCCCAGGAAAAGCTCCTGGCAGACGAGAGGGTGGATCACGATACTGTTCAAAGGCAGCTGGCCGAGAGCGTTTCTGAAGTTCAGGAGCGGTTTAGGGGTTTAGGGTTTGGGGTTATAGGGTTTAGGGTTTGGGGTGATAGGGTTTAGGGGTTGAGGGTTTGGGGTTATAGGGTTTAGGGTTTAGGGTTCAGGGTATAGGAGTTTAGGGGTTTAGGGTTTAGGGATATGTGGGGGTAGGGATTTTTACGGGCTATGTAGGGGGGGAGAGGGAGAGAGAGAAATACATGTGTATATATATATATGTATACACAGATATGTAGGATTTCAGGGGTTACTACCTGAAGCTGCTATTCAGGAGCTGCTGCGAAGCGTCTCCGATATGCAAGCTCGGCAAAAGGAGCACGAGGTTCTCAGGCTAAACTTGGAGCTGCGCCAAGCAAGAGCCTCGTTGCTGTTAAGGAACTTAGATTAAGTTCTATAATAAGGAAACGCTATTATGTACTGTATATAGTTCCCCTTAAGTAGACAGAACATGGGGTATATGGGGATCTTATTATAGTGTTGGCCATTTCCATATTCTATCTACTTAAGGGGGACTCCACCCATACTATGGCAATCTGACCTAAGTTCCCTAAAGCCTGACCCCTAAACCCCAAACCCTACTCCGCGTATCCTCGATAGTTTGCGGGATGAGAAAGGAGCTTGCAGCTCGAAGCAAAGACTCCGTTATAGGGGGATATTGTAACTTAATCTAAGATTATAGGTGGGGACTATACCCATATTGCGGCAAGTTAATCTAAGTTCCTTAAAGCCCTAAACCCTAAACCCATAATAACTTAATCTGAGTTCCTTAAAACCCTAAACCCTAGACCTGAAACCCTAAACCCTAAACCCTAAACCCATGATAACTGAATCTAAGTTTCTTATCAGCAACCCAGGAGCCGATGCGGCTGCGGATGCCAAGCTGAAGGAGGCCGCTTCCATCGAAGCGTCGCTGAGAGAGAAGTTGCAGGCTGCTCGTTTAGGGTTTAGGGTTTGGGGTTTTAGTGTTTTAGGGTTTAGGGTTTTAGGGTTTAGGGTTTTAGGGTTTTAGGGTTTAGGGTTTAGGCTTTAGGGTGTAGGGTTTAGCGTTTATTTTTTAGGGTAGGCTGCTCGTCTCATCTTACAGGTTCTTAGTGGAGAATAAGGAAACATGCCCGATAGGGATTATATAGGAATTCTATGGGGATTACATGAAAATTCTATAGGGATTCATATAGGGATCATATTCCCTTATTCCCTACTAAGAACCAGTAATGTGAAGCATGCTTAGCCCTGGTGTGTGTCTGGTCTTGGCATGGTGGTATGTAAGGACGTTTGGAGCAAGCTGGCATCGAAAACCGATCTCAGCTTAAACCCGGACACCTTTGGAGATCCGCTTCTTGACAGCGTCTTCGCGCAGAAGGACAGGAATACCACGAAACAAGGGAGGGCATAGGGATCAAAGGTTGAGTCTTTAAAGTTTGTATGGTGTCTCGGCCAGAGCATGACTTAACAACGCCTGCCAGCCAGCGCAGGCGGCGAAGATCCACCGGAAAGTGTTGGCGGCCCTGCGCCGTGCTGGTGACGCACATCACGCAGCCATAGAGCTTGAGCTCTCCCTGGCATCGCAGCCGCCACTTGAGCCATAGTCTAAACTCCTTAAAGGGGGTTATATAGGGAATTATATAGGGGAGTACTATATGGGTTATTAAGGGGGATACTAGGAGTTTAGACTATAGCACACTTGAATTCTGAATGTCTTGCTTATGGTGACAACGCTAGACTCCCGTCCCCACCCGCCTAAGAACAAACCCGCAATATATGGGCATTTCCCAAAATTAGGGGTACCATTTTGGGGGTCCCTGTAATAAGAACTATAATATTTTGGGTCTATATTGGGCTCCCCTCATTTTTGGAAACTCCCATATTTCCAGTGCATATAGGGAATGTTTATTATAACGGGCGTGCAGGGTACATTATTAGGGGAGGGGATGAGGACATGACTTTTATGCGGCTAGTAGGTAATATGGGAAAAGAATCCCTAGATACCATCAGCCCTAAGCCCTGCACCCTAACTCCCTAAGCCTTAGACCCTGAACCCTAAGCCCTAAACCCTAAACCCTCAACCCTAAACCCTAAACCTTGACCTTCAACCCTAACTCCTAAACCCTAAACCTTAAACCCTAGACCCTAAACCTTAAGCCCTAAACCCTAAACCCTCTAGTAAGCTGGGGGGGGGGGATTGTTTGGGCAGCCAAGGTCTGATCATGTTGGAGATGGTGACCAGGTTCGCCCAACATGGCCATGACCTCCCCCTAATATTTATAGTTTAGGTTGGGCCCCCACCCACCAATAGTGACCCCAAAAGGCAAAGGTGGTTATATTCGGGTCCTTATATATTCTTAATATACCACTATTGGTGGGTGGGGGCCCAACCCAATTTATCGTCCCCCTTAAGTAGATAGAATGTGCCTTTGGGTATAATCTCGTTGTGGTATACCCAGAAAGCCCAATACCCATTGATTGAGGAACATTTTTGAAATCGCATTAAGGATTCAAAATATGGTTTGAGGAATATTCCTTAATGAAGGGCTCTTGACCTCCCTGGGTATTGGGAACATTTGACGTTGGGGGCGGGGGGGTGGAGGGGTTAAACATTAGGGGGAGGGGAT